CCTTAGCAAGATAGGGAATTCACCGTTGCAATCCGTATGCATGCCGATGTGCCACGCCCCGTACAAACAGTCAAATATGTCAGAACAATTTTGTCTGTTGCTGCTAGGTTTTATGTGAACCCCATTATGTCCGACCTCCGTCCAGAAATTCCGGATCGATTTTTTCTGTCAGAGTTATCGTGAGGTCTGCAATGAACTGGAGACGGCAAGTGGGATAAACGTATTAAGAAAAGCTACGGTTCAAAAGACTATGCTTTCAGATTTCGACAACACTGGCGATCAATTGTATCGAGAAGTACAGTTACAAACACACACTTACATATATATATATGATAGTGGGCGCTCACCGATCAGGTTACGGAACATGCTCGTTCCGTTGTGCCTTGGGGCTCATACTTAAACCCTCGCAGGCAGTCGCACAGCGACTAGTGGTAGACATAGATGAGATGATACCGACAAAGACAAGGGAGACCGGAATGGCCATTTCTGGCTTATTAGCCGTCATCAGCCAGTCATACCCAACCCCAAGTGTGGATCACTTGAGATCCACACTTGGGGTTGGGTATGACTGGCTGATGACGGCTAATAAGCCAGAAATGGCCATTCCGGTCTCCCTTGTCTTTGTCGGTATTACCTTTCCAACATATATCACTAGTCGCTGTGCGACTGCCTGCGAGGGTTTAAGTATGAGCCCCAAGGCACAACGGAACGAGCATGTTCCGTAACCTGATCGGTGAGCGCCCACTATCATAATTAATATTCCCGATCACAACCGACAGGACAACGGGCCCGTGGCTCAATGGTAGAGCGTTCAACTCCATGACCAAAGATCCCGGGTTCGAATCTCAAGTGATCCACACTTGGGGTTGGGTATGACTGGCTGATGACGGCTAATAAGCCAGAAATGGCCATTCCGGTCTCCCTTGCCTTTGTCGGTATTACCTTTCCATATATATATATATATGCAAAATGTTATTGCCGACAAAGACAAGGGAGACTGGAGTGGGCATTTCTGGCTTACTAGAGGTCGTAAGCCAATCATACCTAGCCCCGAGGTGCGGAACACCTGAGGCTTGAACTCGCGACTTGTTTGTCAGAAGTCCAACACCTCTACTCACTGGGCCACGGCCCTGTTTTCATGTCGGTTACGATCGGGAATATAAAATGGTAGAGGGGTGCTCACCGATCACAAGGCACAACGCAACGAGTGAGTTCTGTAAGAACGATCGGTGAGCGCCTCTTGACCATTATATATGATGGTGCTTAGGACCCCTAAAAGGGCAAAACACTGTTTTAGTAGAAATAATGGTTTATCCAAATGCGCCTTTGCGTCCCCTCTATTTTGGTGAAAAATTTACTGCATCCGTCGGCTACATTCAAATAGTATTTTTGAAAGCGTGGGGCTGGTGTGATCTGGTAATTTTTCAAGACGTCTGTCACTACTGAGAGATCAAAAGTCAACTACATTGGCCAATAGCTTTGTGCACGTGAAATTAAAGCCTGGTCATGATCAATTTTTCACTGCAGAGTTTCTATATTTTAGTCAGAAACAACGAATACAGTGGCTGCCTATCCAGTTGATCTATAATGGCCGCTACCTGGCTCTCTGTTTTATTTAAGTTACATCTAACAGGTGGCAGGTACCATTTGAAAGACGAGTATAGCACAATGCCGTGTAGCGCCGTATAAAAGCAGCTTTTGTATTTGATGTACATGGCAAAGCCATTGAAATCTCTATACAGCAGAACAATGGTCTGTATGAAAGGCACTTAATATGCGCTGGAAATTGTAGTATACAACATGCATAGGACCGATAAGAAAAACATAAGTGTTAATACAAGTGGAGAATTTGCGAACTAACGTCGAGCAAAATCTCCACTACATTTGCACGCAGTTTGGCGGTTCTAATATAGTGAATACTACACATCTCAAATTCAAGTACACCCGAATGAGTAGACAGTCTGCTACTGAGTATTTCAGCAAGAGTCGCTATTTATGAGCCATAATCACGCTTCATAAATATAGTTTTTTTGGAAAGGCTTGCCTTTGTCCACGATCGATAATTGCTGAGCAATTTTAGGCCGCTATCTTTAAGATGTGAAATCGCGCTCAAACTTTACTTTTAGCAGTGTATACGTGGCCCGATAGTTATTAATACCAAAACCATGCGCTTTCAAAATGCCTTTTTAACTCTTGATTATTCAACTACAGGTTGTTTGGCGTGCAAAAGGCAGTTTCACATATTCCGACCCTTTTTGTTGGCATACGTAAACTAACATGATATTTATGATTAGATCCTGATTTAGAGAACGAAGAAATAAGTGCACATCTACTATAATCTGGCCTTTTTATTACAAGATGCTTACATGTAGCCGCTGCATTATTTGAATTTTTCTATACATTGCCTTAGGTATTTCATATGAACAAGGCGAAGGCGACAAAGCATGCAGAATTTAATGACGTCATAAATTTCGGGACCTCTCATTCAGCTGCGTATTTCATATGAATTGTTCTGTCGTTTAAAATAAATCTCGAGTATCCGTTAACGAAGAAGCTTACGGAGTTTATGTCACGTTTCGCCCTTCTCTTTTCAGTAAATTAGAATGGTCATACTTATAAAAGACAGGAATTCCCAACTCCCTCTCTTCGAAAGCTTATAGCTGTGCTGTTTTAGTGCAGAAATAGGGGTTTTATTCTTTCCATTTATTCGCTAACTCCAACATACACAGTTCGATTGCTCCACTGCAAGGTGCAGCAGGCACGGTGGCTTGCGCTTGATTTCCTGTATAGGGATGGTAAACTTGCGCGGCATCTACCCCACTCCCTCCTCCTCCCCTCCTGAGCTCAGTGTAAAGACATAGTCAAAAAGACCAGAGGTGAGAGAGGGCCCAGGTGGCTGGTACAGCCGAACCTGTACCTAGGCCTACCACCACACCCTCTGGCTCACAAAAAACACTTGGCCGGGATCTGGATCAAAAGAACCACGCCAGGACGGATCGGGGATGACTGGGCAGTCATACTTATGATCTGTATACCCAGCGCAAGAGCATCTACCAGCAGGAAACCATGCGCCGGAGGACTGCTAGCGCGCGCCAGGTCCCTAAAGCCACGGTTTGTTGATCCCGACATAACAGACGCTTACGGGCCTTTTGGTTCACAATGGTGAAATGCAGCCCCGCATTTGCCCGGGCAATCATCCTTCAAAGGCTGGGTAACCAGTCAGTCACTACCCATTAATGAACACATCCGCCCCTTGTGCTCGAGATTATCACGGATCCTTTTAAGAGGGAGCCGTGGCACCCTGACTTTCAGTCCACCAGTTCGCCACTCCACACAAGCACACACACGACTGGGCAGACTGCGTGGTCTGAGTTGAGGCGTCTGTCGGCAGCATTCCAAGCCGCGGCGCTTGGCGTACTGTGGTAGGATCACACATGTAGCAGTGGAGCCGCATGGGGAAGCAGCGGAGAAGCACACTTTTCACTTGCGTAAGAGGTGTCAATTGAGTCCTTGCGTTATGTGATAGTGGGTAACGATGTTGTGTGGTGTAGGTACTGGTGGGGAAAGGTATGATGGTGTGACGTAGTCGGCGGTTGTTTGTCGCGGATTTCCATGAATATGCCTGTGGCCTTGTGGGCGCATGTGGTGAGTGAATGTGCGGGGGCGGTGAGGGCAGTCCAGGCAGATGCTATGAGCGTAGATTGATGCTCCAGGAACCGGTTCGCTTGTCTCCGTGCGATTGATTCGCAAGTGATCGACCAGACCAATATATGGGGGCGAATGTGCGATCGCAATGGGGACAGGCATGGACCGAGTCCACATTGCTGGGGCTGGAAGTGTTGGTGGTGGTATCAGTAGTAGAAGATGGTGGGAGGTCAGACGTCGTCGCATCAGTGGGGGGAGTGCGCGAATTCGTGGTGGTGATGATTCTGACTGCTGCGGCCGTTGTTGCAGGCGTTGAAGCAGGGCGGATGTTGGTGACGAGCAACGACAGCGTGATCGGTGGTGACAGGGGTGGAGTGAGCGGGCTCACCCTGGTTGCCTGTGGGATGGGGCGAAGGGGAGGAGGAGAAAGTATTGTTTCTGTTTTGATGGTTTTGATCGCACGTGCGAGCCACGGTCTGCGTGCAGATGTCGTAAATCTAGCTTTGGTTAGGACATCTTTTTTAGCTCCTGCCTCTCGCAGGGGAAAGCGGTGCTCCCTCAAAGTAGGGCTGCTTTGCTGCCCCAGACGTGTATCGTTCTCCACTAGGGGTCACGGGGTTCAGTGACAGAACGACGAATGGCCTGGGCCGCCTACGTGATTGCATGTCGCCCTCGCTGTAGGGAAGAGAGAAAGCAGAGCGAGGGGAAGGAGGGAGAGCGGAGAAGGAAAATAGCGGAGTAGAGGAAGGAGGGGAGCAGGATAACCGTGCGTAGAGATACACACACACAGATACCGCCTTCTGGTTGGGGCGGTTGGCGCTGCATGGCCGCCAAAGAGCCTAGCTTTTAGGATCCACATGTGGAGGTTGGGTGCCAGTTAGTAGATGCTAGGCATAGTCAACACCTACTAGCGATTGAGCCACCTGCCACAACCTTCACGTGAACACACTTACGCCACCGCGCCCGATAAAGTACGTGCAAATTATCATGTCACTCATGATCAAGTCGATTTGTGAAAAAGCCAATAAAGTGCTGCATTCGTTGCGCGCTTTTCAGTCTTTAGAAAATAACAACACTGCCTAAGGCTTCCAGCGTCCCATTTTCCCTACTTTGCATGGGATATGTTTTTTTCAGAAAAATTATCTCGTAAGCCACTTTCAAATAACTCGCCTATTGGATTTTTGCGCGTTTTTCTTGTTTTCGTTTTGGCGAAATAGAATGGTCACATTGGAAATTGAAAACTCTTAAATCAAGGCGGGAATCCCCGGCTTCATTTCTCATGCCCCTTCCCTTTTTATTTTAGACGCGTATCATTTGAAGCCTGCGCAGTTGTGGTCAAAGTCCCAGTTCGTGGCATGGAAGCTATGGACGAAGTGAAAAAATTTATTGAGACCGCGAATGTGGCGGTTGATCGTGTGATTCAGGCAAGTAGTCCAACCCCGGGCTCTGATATCTATAAGTCAGGTTAAGGATGAAGTGCTCGGAAACTCGGAAAAGTTTGAATACGACGAGCAAATGCTGAAATTGTTTAAGGCAGCAGACAATACCTACAGACTGTGTGAACGACTGAAGTCCGGAATCAACGCGTGGCTGAATCCAAACCAGGGTAAGCCCTTGATTGTACAGCATATTGCGTAGTCTTCAGTTTTATTTCATTAGTTGCCTCCTTTAAATTTGGACAAACTTACTCTTATTTGACATGTTATGTCCAGTTGCGTTTTCGAACTGAAGGTCATTTCTATAGCGTGATTTTTGTTTCTATATACCACTACAGCACTCTTCAGAACGCTTATAACTTCTAAATTTTTAAAAGGCCCTTTAACATGATTTATCACTTTGTCATTTCTTTAAACTATATGGAGTCTAAGGGTGTGAAATTGATTCTTTCTCAGTTGAGCGGCTTCAGGATAAACTGACCGAGAAGTTTCTAAGCGCCAAAACCTCCAGGCTGACTTCCTCGGGTCAGCTGGCCAACGACGAATTGGAAATCGTTCAGGAACTGTGTGAGGACAGCGGACTCGGTAAGACATCCCGCAGTGCATGTTTTAAGTTTGTATGTGAGGCATCACCCTTCTGGGTTTTAAGGATCGTGTGTCTCTGCTATGTCATGATTCAGCAAATCATGGTCCTCGCAGCCTGGTGTGTGTGTTCTGGCACCCGGTCCTTCCGGTAGACGCGCTTGCGCTTCTGCTGGGTATACGGGTTTCTCAGTCATCCTCCTCTTTCTAACCCGTTTGTTTTGCCGTTGGTTAAGATCCTGGTAAAGTGTTTGTTGTGGTCCAAGGGGTGTCTGTCCGTTCACGCCATCCACCTACGCCCTCCCGCACATCCGGTCTTCCTGACTGTGTCTTGACACCAACTCCCGGTGGGGAGGAGGAGGAGGGAGTGAGGTAGATTCTGCGCAAGTCCACTCTCAGTAGAAACTACTTCACGCGCCAGTCATCGTGACTGCTTCACCTTGTTGTGGAGCACATGGGAGACATCGTTGGGCACGACTGTCGAACCGTCGTACATGGTTAGAACTGTGTGTATATGGTTAACTTAAAGTTTGTTTGAGTCTGCTATGCCATGATTCAGTAAACCATGACCCTCGCAGCTTGGTGCGTGTTCTGGCAGTCCCCTGACACCTGGTTTCCTGCCGGTAAATGCGCCTGTGATCCCGCTGGGTATACAGGCGGTGGACATGGCTGCCCAGCCAGCCTGGTGTTGTTGGTTAAAATCCTGGTTAATTGCTTGTGTGAGCCAAGGGGTGCGATGGTACGCTTAGTTGCGGGTCCGGCTGTGCCAGCTACCTGCGCCCTCCCCCACCTCTGGTCTTCTTGACTATGTCTTGACACTGAATCCAGGTGGGGGAGGAGGAGAGAGTGCGGTAGGTGCTGTGCAAGTCTACCTCCACTATAAACAAATTCACGCACAAGTCACCGTGTCTGCTATAATTTCGCTGTGGAGCACACGGTGGACATCATCGCAAAGACGGTCGAACTGTCATGTAGTGCACCGTTTAGACAGTAATTGCCCTACCTAAGATAGAAGCAGGTAGTATGTTAACAAAAAATCTCGTAGCACTCAGCGCCTATATCGCGTCGTCACTGCACAGGTTCTTGTCCACAATAATTTCTAAACGATCGAGATTCAATCTCCGTCGCTGGTGAAGAAAATGGATCGGACCGCACAGATCCGTTGCAGCAGATTGTCATGCGTCGCGAGGAAAAATTCGCGACATCATTGAGGCCGACTGGATAAGGCATGATCGCAGTCCTTCCGGGTATAAGTACTAGAAGTAAAAATCTATTCGCTGTCTTGTGACTGCTGGCCGTAATCCGACAAAGAAAACTACTATTCCATGAATTCCTAAAAATCCATCCGAGAATCAGTTTATGCGCCACATATACAGCGTAACCCAGAGGTGGACGAAGGAAAAAGCTGTGATTTTCAAATAAAGGTAGTCACAATTAAAATTCATTTAACTGTCCAAGAATAGAGCGCTATGCGTAGCACGGAGGGAAAATTTTGCCAAACGGCATTGATCAGAAATGTCTTTGGCGTCTCATGTAGCCTGCGCAAACGCACGTGACTACTCGACAGTCAACAAATCGCTCTGCGCATTTTCACGCGACCCTTTTTTTGCCGCAGCCTATCTGACTCTTTTCTGTTTAGAGCTTAGACAGCAACCTTGGCGTGTAGATCGAATTCTGCTGTTCACGAAGCTCTCTCACTCAAGACGTCCTGTTCCTTTGATTTAGAAACAAATCAGTTTTGACAGTGTACTTCTTATCGGAGGGGTAGTGTTATGACTTGCTATTCATTGGCTTAGCTCAGAACAAAATGCATACTCTCACATCGGCATATCTAACGGCAGCTTTTTGTGGTTCCTACTTAGCGGGGCAGTGGATTTGTAACGACACTGCAGCAGGTGGTACGAGTCACCTGAAACAGCATAAAATAAATCATTTCGCCGATGTTTTTAATTTCACCACCTGGAGGTGGGCAGACTTGGACAGATCACTGATGTGTCAAAGGAGGAAGCGAGAAAGCGCGGAAACAAGACAGATTCGGCTAGGTTCCCCTGCTGTGGATAACAAACGTCCTGAACATAGTTTACTTTCATCATAATGGGCAAGCGATGAAGACCAACATTGTCCCGAAAGATTGCGCATGCAGTAGTTTAAAATGAAAAAAACGTAAATAGCATCTATACTCAGTGACCGCTCTCATGAAAAGTTAACCAGAATTCCGAGATGTGTTTTCGATTAGGAAGAAATGCCTAAGTGGGGCAGTAATAATGGCTATCTTATGGCGCAGACTCGTAATATTTCAGACTCACCAGGATGTGTGCTTTTAAATAAGCCTATTTTCAACCGTCTCCAAAAACTGCACTCAGCACAAGTGACTACATAGGTAGTATGCACATTTATATTATTTTTTTGACGCCATCAACAAATTTAAACTGTTGCGTGAAAGATATACATACATGTATTGCTTTTGCACTCATCTGGTGGCAAATCATTCCTTCACTAAAGTTTTTATCCAAAGAAAGGGTATGTTTTTAGTTTAAGAAAGGTTTTTTATTCGTGAATAATGTTGAACTCTACCCGTCAGTGCACTTTTGTTTAGGGTTTTCAGTCTATAAGCTTGATACTTTCCATATAAAGACAAACACATGTTCCTTTATGCCACTAAGAAAATAACGTATGGGGCTCATAAAATGTTGCAACGGATGCGGACTGTGTTGTATACTTAACCGGTTGTATTTTTGAACAGACTGATACGATGCAATTCAAATGCTCATTGTACAGTCTTAAAAATCACATAATCAGAAACTGTTTTAAAACCAAAGGCTACCATTTATTGGGACATAAATCTTAAAGGAGACATAATTGGCTACCGAATAAGTACAGAAAACAATGTTTTTATGAAGGCTTTCTATAAAATACACTTGAATTTATAAGGCATCCGAATTCAATAGAGAAAATGGATATTAATTATGTAATCATTTTTTGCTGAGCGCGGTTTTCGCAGACGGCCGAGAGGAAGTTCATTCAAAAGCTTACATCTCGGCGTACCTGAAATATCACGGGGTTATGCCACAGAATGATTAATATTACAGCCCCGTTTAAGCACTCCTTCCTGATCGAGACCACAGTCACCGCTCCCTAAACGCACCATGCTCCAGAGACAAGACAGAGTCGGATCGACTGGAGATGAGGGGCCCGTGAATCTTAATCTTTTTAAGCTTCCTTGAGGGACCCTTGTATCTCCCGTACTTGGAGACTGTGAAGATCACATATAGAAGGATCTGTTGCAGTCTGATCCCCAAAATTGCGCAGAATCGAGTTATTCCTCCATATAGCAACTATCCGGCTGCCAGCGCATCGCAGAAGGCTCAAACGTGCTTGATTTCTTTTACTGCGAAATGCCATGAGGATGGATTTGTTCGCATGATCAGCCTCACCCTTTTCTTCCTCTCCTAGGCACCACTGGCCAATCCGAGCTTACCGGCTAGCTGGTGCTGAGATTGTAAGCAGTAAGTCCTCCGTTGATGGTGTGCCGTATAGAATTACGATAGGACTACAGAAATCACGCGGAATCAGCACAGTCCAACCAATCGGATTCTCGTTTACAGCTAGTGCATCAGCAATGCGTCCCACTTGAAAGATGAATAAACACGCATACATGTACCAAGCACGACTTCTACCCCTACAGTCGCCTTTACTCGTCATCCGCAGCCCGTTCGCCAACTGCAGACTGGTATATGATAGGCTATGGTGGGAGCGTGTTCATCGATCGATTACGGGACGTGATCGTCCTGTTATGCGCTGGGACTCAGGCCAGAGTTCACGAGGGCAGTCGCATAGTGGTAATCAAGGTATGCGTTCGACTCAGTGGCCAAAGATCCTGGGTCCCAGCCGCACCGAACATGGGGTTGGATATGGTTGCCTGATGGTGGTTAAACAGTTAGAACTGGCCACCTCAGTCCGCTTGGGCTCTTTCGCTACTCCTTTCAATTTATGGCAGAATTCCCATTCACCGCTGCACCTAATTACGAGTGACTATACCGAAATTTGGTGACCCGACGTGATAATGAAAAGCCAACCACCGGAGTTAATTTAAGCCAATTGTTATGCAGTTCCCATCTCGAATTCCTGTCCCAAGCCCTCCGTGTCACCATTTTGCCCATGGAATAAACGTGATCTTCTACATCTCGTCCAACCGAAATGGTTGTTGCCGGCACAAATCTGGTCGACAAGTCGATGAGTGTAAAGTGAACCCGTAAGTAGACATCACTGTCGATAGTTATCTCTTCTCTTTCCGGATGCTTCTCTTTCAATCGATTCCAGTGAGCTCTAGGCATTCGAGGTGCTCTGAAGTCTATTCTGACTTTGAAGATTTCACGACAGTAAACTCCCATCGACGAATTTGTCCGAGTCTGTATTCACTGCGCTTCACCCACCTGCATCTCTCCGAAGGCCGAGGCACTAGTTCGTCGGTCGGTTCGAGAAACAGACTATCAGCAGCCCTCTCTGAGTATGCCGACGTTGTCCAGCCTGTCGACCTCTTCACTCCGTTTGACGTTTAGGATTGAAGGGGCTGGGGGCATTCACTATTAGTTAGGATTTTGATTCAGAAAAATTATAAGACGCTGGGTGACCTTGTTTCGTTTGCGTCCGAAGTTTATATCTTGCCCAAGCGGACGCAACCGTCCAGATAAACAAAGTGCGCGTGAAGGTGAACGGCCAACCAAGTCAGTCGATTAATGGGTACTTTAAGCAGTTTGAATTTGAGCGAAGAGTCGGTTCGTACCGCGCAGTGTAACCAGTGCCGAGGTGGCATCACTTCAGAGTTTTTTTTTCGGAATGAACGCCTTTCATTACTGTCTCGTTTTTCACCGATAAAAGCAACTTGGTTTTGCGACCGCGGTGGTTGGCTTACACCGCTTGACCTTGACCGCCCCGATAGTGACACTAGTAGTGGCTGTGGTAAGGTAGCGTTGGTGCAACAGTGGTATGCCAAAGTCAAATGTCATTCATTTTCTTTGGATGCGAGGAACGATATATCATGGCTCGTTGCGTACTCTATTTCGTGCTCAGGTCTGCTGTCTTCTCCATATTTTGACTGAAATCCAATGATTGTAGATTGTAGTTCTTTCTTCCTAATGATAACGCACTACTGACCGTTCAATGCGGTACCTCGACTGTCGTGACTGACAACGCTCACCGTGTGCTTCACAGCAGGATGAGAACAGAGACGGTGGTTTGCGCGTGCTTCCTTTATGGTGATGGGCTTGCGCTGTATCTACTGCACTCCCACCTCTTCCCCCACCTGGGTCCGGTGTCAAGACATAGTCAAGGAGGCCGGAAATGGGGGAGGGCGTAGGGGACTGACATGGCGAAAACCTGCACCTAGGCGTACCACCACAGCCCTCGTCCACGACATTAACTGACCAGCATTTTATACAACAGGAAAAGTCGGTAAGATGAGACGGCTCTCAATGAGTGCGGCCTGAGCCTGCACGTGGGCGTTCTGCCATAGCCCCCAATGTTGACTTTTGTTATGGATATGTATTCCAGATAACGCCAAACGGACTCCGATCTAGCCCCTGTGTTGGTCGTAGCCCGTTCCAAACTCATCGTTCTATGCAAAAACGTAAACATGATGGGTAACTGTAAAATCCATATCATGGTAAATGCATCACCATTCAGACTTATGTCTATGAAAGTGGATTTTTGGTTCATCCGGATGACGTTGGCATAAAACTGAAGCTGTAGATCATTTGCGCACGCCATCCAGCCCCTCATACTAGTCCTTATCAAGGTCAAAAGTTACCTCCTGAAGGTGGCGTCACTGACAGTGCAATCTCAAGGTCCAATCAACAGACATGTCTTACTTTGATGCGCCGTGGACTTTTATGCTACACTAAAGCACAGTGAACTTACTCTACCGCTCTAAATCCAGCCGTCAAGGGTGTCGGTTACACCCACGCCCTCTTTCCGTCTAAACTGCGGTACTTAAATGCGGATTTGTGGGGTACACCTCACAAAAGCAATCATGTGATGCATGAAAACGAAACCATCGCCCAGGACCCGATAGTTTAATGCAAGTAATTGTTGTGTTTCAAGTTGGTGGTGCACTCGGGGAGGACACAAATCATTAGGGGGTCGATGCCTTGCGACATGGTGCCCTTGCTTCCCGAAGTGAGTTTTGACGCATTCGAGTGCTTCTCTTGACCCACCTATGGGACACTCGGCGGCCTCCGTGGGAGTCGAACGCACGACTGCAAGGACAAGACTTGAACACAGTCAACGTTCCAAACACCCGATCCATGAAGCTACAGTTTGGTCGGATACATAGTTTAAATCTTCCAAAAGCTAATAAATTAAGCGAGCCTGGTAGTTATCTGGCGGATTCTAAATTGACTGCATAGGAAATCCAGCATGGATAGTCAGCTTTATTTAACAACATTGTTAGGTTTCATATGTTGTAATAGGTTGGACGGGTAAATTGACCCAAATGTCATTAATCACACAGCCCTCGATCGGGACCTCATAGTTCAGGAGGTTTGAGCATTGGGTGTAATCAAGCCTTGTCCTTGCTGTCGTGGGTTTGATTCCTACTGAAGTAGCTTGGTCTTTTGAGACTAGGTCAGTTGAACTACTCACATCCGCGCTCAGCCCATGTTTAAGGCAGTTCCTTGTTCAAGTGAATTTACCAGTGTCTGATCAGCTGGTGGGCAACCCTTCAGGCTTTGCAAACGAAGCTCGCGGGATGATCAGTACTTTAGGGACGACCGTCGGGTGTGTCTATTTGTGTCCGTCTCCTTCCAAGGCCATTCAATTCACTATCCGCGTCCTGCCCTGGGGAGGGGCGTGGGGTTCTGGTGAGTCGTCGACCCCGGCCACGGTACGGCTGTCGCGACCTTTGTCGGCGTTTTCGGGCTTCGAGCTCGTCTCCTCGGTGAAGTTGCCCATTACTCGGCTGTTCTCATAAAGCCGCGAATTCTTGACGTAGCCGGATGTGTCAGTTCATCGAGTGGTCGTCCTACAGCCAGACCTTCCGTAGCTGTCCTCAGCATGGTTGCGGCTTTCCCTCGTTGAGCAATGTTTCCCCTGGGCTCCCAGTGGCCCGCTGACAGCGGAACACAAAATCACCTCGTCGCCAACAGTCCTCTACTCACTGACCTCACACTTTCAATCTCTGAGAAAAGCAAAATGCCTAACACCAGAATGCTCACGGCGAACCCTTAGGCACGCTGTTGCATCATGCGAAAGCACAGAATCGGCGAAACTCATGCCAGTGCTGGGAGCGTGACAAATCACTATTCGGCGAGGTTCGGTTCTGCAGCCCCACTTTTTGATACCATATGGTTGGCTACTAAAACAATTTTAGTAGGCGCGATTACAGTGTCTTCGCATATTTCACGTGTTTACTATTTTAATCCAGCGAGTGACTGTGCCACAGGGGAGGAGTTTTTATACGCCAGTCGCGGCTACAACAGGTATCAGTACACACGCGCTTCCCTGCGCGTGCTTCGACCCCTGCTTGCGCCCTCTCTATTATCTCAATCCAGCGAGTGGCTAAGTAAGCTCGCTAATGTCATCGTTTCGGTGGTATGCAACTCCATCGGTTCCGCTATAGCGTCCACGCACTGCGAAGTAACGCGTGGGCCCCTTTATGGCCTTCCAGTTGTGATCGCACCCATCTTATCCTCTTGATCCAGCGAGTGGCTGTGTCGGTTATACCAAACATCGGTTCATATGCACCTCCCTGCGCGTGTTTCCAGCTCCGCTTGTTCTCTCTTTCTCTTCCTAATCCAGCGAATGGCTAAGTTAGGTATGTTAACTAAAATTGCTTTAGGAAGCTAACCATTCAGTGAATGACCGATCTCATGAAATGTTGGCTGAAATTCTGAACTGCGTCTTCGATTAGGGAGGATTACCTAGGCGCGGTTGTAATACTGAATGTCTTACGGCATAATTTTATAATAATTTGGACTCGACAGGATGTCAGCTTTAAAATACACTTCTTTTTAATCTCCTGTTGAAACTGCACTCGGCAAAAAATGACTACTTTAGAAGCATGCTTTTTTTCCCATTGATTTTCGTTGGCCGTGCAAATTCAAGTATATGCTATAGAAACCATAAACAAAATATGCTTTTTCTTATTCATTTGATAGAGAACTCCGTCTTCTTTATATTTTATACTCGAAGAAGGAGTATAATTAGGTTTTGAAAAAGTTTTTTAATTGCCAAATAATTTGGAGCCTGATCATTTGTTGCACAAGCGCTCAGCGATTTCAGTCTACAAGGTGCATGCGTTCCGCGTAAAGAAAATCACGTATTTTCCTATGCCCTTATAAAGATGTCAAACAGAGTCCATTAAATTTTGCAATGAATGCGGACTATGTTGTACATTTCATGAGGAGTTGTGGTAAGCGGACAGGTACGATGCTATCTGAATGGACACTGCGCGGCCTTGAAAAATCTCCTAATTAGAGACTTTTTAAAACCTAATTATACTCCTTCGTCAAGCATAAAATATAAAGATGATGTAATTATCTATCAAACGACTACTGACTGTCTGTTGGCAGAAGGTGAATATTTCACAATTATTACGCTATGACTGACAAATGTCAACCCAAATATTCACATAAACTCTTGGATTGCACGTTAGACGGTTTGTGCTGAAAACCATACTCCAATATTTCCCTCAAATTCCCGTGGAATTTAAAAAACCTGGCATAAGTCATAATTCTCTCCGCAATGTTAGGCATGGGCGGACATCCCTCAAATCTCTCTCTACTCCATCCCTTGTGATTGGTTGTTTTCTTGCATTTTACTGCTCTGCCGCGGCATTTCATTGCACAGAATTTATGATTACTAATGCGGAACGTATGGTGACCGATTTTGATTTCTTTTAAATTGTTATAAATCCAACTTATTCAGAATGAACTATTTTTTCCTCAAAATCACCAGCCCTTATCCTCTCGACGTACTCGGCTGCGCTAACCGAGATAGGCAAATCAGAGCAGTCCTTCGTTTCGGAAGCACAAAATGGAATTTTGACAACTCTGAATACCTTTATTAAAAAGCAGTGGCCAGAAATTCAGGTTAGTCAAATTACTGAGATTAAACCCACATGTCTTTTCAATTATCTTACGAAAAACGCTTTACCTGGAGTGCATCATTGTGTTTGACATACCCGGAGCAGTCGCTTTAATGTCGCGTTAAGCACTGTTCGTAACCGGTATAAAGAATGACCCCACTTAATTGTCCGTAGACTGCGGATCGTGCCATAAGTGATGTATGATAAAAGGAGTTTTATGAGTGGGGCAGCACGCTAGACAGCAAGCTGACAAAATGAAAGCAAACACAGAAATTGCCTGGATTTGTGCCGAAAGTCTTATCCTACGCCACTGCATGACGACGGAAATGAGAGCTGTAATTAAACAATTAACAAAAAGTACATTTCACAAAATAACGAACTTTGAGTTAAGGTGTGAGGTAGTGGGAAGTAATCGTTGTTGACAGTGTAATTTCTGCAACAGCCTGCAAATGTATGTCGAGATAAAACCCCATGTGACACGATCCGCAGTCTACCGACAGTTAAATGGGATCCTTCTCTATACCGCTGCCCGCTGTTCCTCTCAGCACAGTCTCGGGGCAAAATCTGTTTTCATGACAGATCTGCGTATTTCTCGCCAACATCAAGTAGACGCGATTACATCTATCAGGACATGCTATCACTCGCGGTTTCGAAGATTGCCAACCGACGGGGTAATTCTGTCTTTGTCAAAACTGGATGTCAGGCCGTGATGACACCTCCTTACTACGATCTTTATAGCATCCCCGCCTATGCGAGATCAAAGTCCTTCAGAATGTAGCTCGGTGCATGTATATTAGGGACGACTTCATGTGTGGCTCGTATTAACAGGCGAGTTCCAGGAAGGAGTTCAGAAGAAAAAAGCGGAATCACTGGAAAAAAAGGTTATTGGCCTGACGTTTCGGATTCTCACTCGAACCCCTCATCGGAGACAGTCGCAAGTAAAGGTAATGGACGCACAAGGACTGCAGCACTTACAGTATGTAATCGCGGTGGAGCCACGGGCGTACCATAATGTGGCTCGTCAGTCGCGTCCCAGTCGTTAATTGCCGAAATTTCATCATCCGTTTTGGATGTGGGCACGGTGATTACTCGTCCATTTGGTCCGCCGTTACTGGGATTATTGTTAGCCAGTGCCCTCCCCACGTGACTGATTTCCCTGTCCAAGGGCTGTCTCAGCACCGAATATGGTAATGGGAGGTCATTAGGTTTGTTGATGGATTGCGAGCCTGAGAAACACGACTCGAGCAGCTCGCAGCTCACGCGGTTGTCAGCTCTTACGAGGATTTCAGCCTCTCGTGGTGGCCTTAAAACCGAAGTGTTCAGGAAAGCGACAAATACGACGTAGGAACTGAACTTCAACAGTAGCCAATCACAAACGCAGTTGCTTGAGGACGCGCTGCAGGCAGGTTGAGACGCGATACAGTGAGCAGGAAGACAAGATTGCTGAATTACAACACCTTCGACGGGTACTGCGAACTAATCTCAACACTGGTCGTTTTAGTGATCGCATCTTCTTCTTTTGAACTGCGGGCAATCTCATTACTAGTCGTTGGTCGGGCACGAACAGTCGACGGGTACACGAGACAGGGAACAGGGAGTGAGGCATCGTGGGGTTATCCATGTCCGTAATAAATGACTGCATTCCCGACTGAAATACGTCAGACTCGCATTTCAGTGTGTAGAACACATGTCCTTCTTGCGTAATTTAGGTAGGCATGTAATTCAGCGAGTTAGAATAGGATCAGTCGGTGCTCAGGCTACTGTACGTGTTGTTATCAAGCTTCTGGGGTTGAGACTAGAGCCATGGGATTTGTGCTGGGGGCGGTAGGAGTCAGCGGAAAGGGTAAGGAGGGGGCAAGATGCTAAGAGGACACAGACCTGCTGCATAAGGTTTTTACCGCCGTTCAGACAATTTTAGGGCTGCCGTGTGGTTTGAATTTCATTCATGGGTTTATGGCTAGGTTCGGGATGAAAGTCTGGGATTAGAGTTATAATAAGGATTAGCTAGTTTTAGGGATAGGGTTAGTTTGAGAGATGGGGTTGGGGCCAGTTTAAGGGTTAGGGTTAGTTTTAGGATTACGGTTATGGTTTGGGACCGGGATTTTAACATACGCCTAGGGTTACTACCTACGCACTTCGGCGTTGGGTTGGCTTTCAAATTGCGTTCTTACAATAATCTATGTCAGGAGGGAGGTTGGCCTTAACGATCGCTTTTTTTACTTTAAATTACGTCCGCTTTTGCTTGGCTTTCAGGAAGTCTTGCATTTCCAAAAAAAGAGACTCGCATAAGTTTGGGGGCATTTTTAGCCTTTTGCTAATTTACAGTTTGCTGAAACCCACTGAGGCAGCCAATGACATCAAGGCTGGTCGAATAGACCATCTAAGGTACCTTCGGGGCTATGTAACACTGGTACGAGTTGTTAGACACCACATCAGCCAAGCATATATGAATGGAATAAGAAAATAGGTCTCCAGTATATAGAATCTATGTCACGATAACAAATGGATAGATTGGAAAAAGTGGAAGAGAATGAATACGAGATAAATAGATAGGTACTGTACAAATGATCCATTTGGAGTGGGTGGTGATCACGTCATATGAGTCACACGCCAGTGCGGATTGCAGCGCTGTCGGCAACTGCTGGTACGGGCTGGCGAGAGTGCTGACAATAACAGAGACGAGACACGGACGGACGGCGAGAGCGAGGGGAGCGGTGTAAGCGGTAGGAAAGGGAGGAACACCGGCCATCTTCACTGGTAGACGATCACAGCGAACCCATGCGAGATCTGCGCCAAAAGTGACCTCTGCTCTTTAAAACAACCGTATCGCACTTGCAGTCTGTTACAACACCGCTTTTTGCATTTCGCACCACTTTTATAAACTAAATTGGAGTACTTAAACAAACCTTTCGTTTATTTATTGCTTTGCCATTCTTCACCACCTACAAAATCACTGCTTACTACTGTTCTCCTAAAAAGGAGACATTCCGTAGTGGTTTATCAAGTGGTCCTGCTTATAAGATCCCTACTTCTGCAGCTTACATGGTTACCAACTAGCGGGATAACCCGACTTTTCCCAGGACGGTAACGGCTCCTTCCTTTTATGGTACTCTCATCCATGTGAGATCTGCGCCGTTATTATTGTCGTTTCGTAAATATGAAACAAGCACCAGGTCAATGTGTGCAACAGGCGTAGGCGGTCCGTTTATTTTTGCCGCCCGCGTCCACTCCCAACTGTACTGCCTCTGTCATATCGTTGTGGCAGGGTTGTTGAGTGAAGAGAGAGGATGAGGTAGGGGCTGTGCAAGTCCAACTTACTGCAAACTAATTCACGCGCAAGTTCCTTCTATTGGGCTCCCCTCATAGGACATAAGTGGACGTCGTCGTTGTCCACGACAGTGGAACTATCGTGTCCCCTATCCCTTGGAATCAGTTTTTGTGTTCCAGCGATCTCATTTCCTTCTTATACAAGTGCTACGTTTAGTTTCCTTTGGTAGTAAAATTCCAGTATCGGGGCTAGAAATGGACGGCATTAAAGGGTCTGCTGAAAGGCCCCACGTGCTCTCCGATAAACTCCCACTAAGCCACTACGGACGTTACCCCAGCCAGTATACTGCTGTAGATCTGTGTATTCGAATCTTTTCATGATCCGAAGGGAACCACAGTTTAGTACTTCACAAAATTTATCTCACTGAGACAGATCATGCGCTCAGTCCACGATTAACTTAACGTCATATTCAAAGACAAGTGAATATAAATCTAGTCTGACAGTTAGCGGTCGTGGCTACAGTAGCTCAGTAGGTGGGAGCACGCATTTTATGGGTAGAGTTTTCTGCTTCCACGACCTACATATTTCCCCGTACCCTGCCTCGACAAGCAAACGTTCTGGCCTGCT